TGCATGACCTCCAGAGATGCCTCCCAATGAAAATTATTCTATAATTCTATAAATAAACTCCTCCCATTGCCTTTAAATTAAGGCATTTGTATGTTTTGCACCCTGTTATGTAACTAAGACCAATAAACCACTTTATGTGTACAGAACTGGATCTGTTGCACAAATATGTCTGCTTAGAGAGTTCATCCTGAATCTGCACTGCTACACACCTGTGTCCACCACAGTCGACAGCAGAAAGCCAAAGAATCCCAGCTCTAACTAGGCAGCTGAATTGGAAACTGCGGTCTTTCTCTGCAGCACCTCCAAAGCCTGGATCCAATTTAAAATAACAAACTTCGTAAATTTGAAGATGTAAGAACTGGATAGCTCAAGAGGTCAGGAAGCAAGAGTGAGTGCGTGAAGAGCCTCTCCTGTAAGTCCCCTGATCATTAACATCTCTGATGTCAACCTGATCATCAAGGCAGTGATATAAAGACACTAAATGAAGGTTCAGTGTGATCAAACCCTTCCACCTTTCTGTGACTAATACACACGTCTCCATGCACACAACATCTTCGTGGACCTTTTAGCCCAACTCTACCCACCACCCAGCAGCAATCACCCTGTCTGCCTCACCGTTGGCCATTTTCTTCACAAGACATTTCAGAATCCAATTTGCGCAAGACAACATACGTTTGGGTGATCAACCACAACACTCCATTTGCTATACAGCAGAGTACTCCTCCAGCCCCCGTTCAGGTAATCGTAATTCAGAGAATGCATAAGCAGCACTGATCCACTGCAATACGCAACAACACGTTCAGCAAGATGGGCATCTTAAAGAGGAGACTAGGAGATGTCAGCCCATGAAATACTCAAATACTTTTACGACTTGCTGCTGAGAAGCAGCGCTACAGCTCTCCTCACCCAGCTCTACATGCTCCCAGAACCAGTTATCATCTAGTCGAGCCACTTGGGTAAAACTGCTCTTACAGCGAAACCAAGCTGCAGGCAAGTTCAATATTTTCCATTCTTTTTAAATCTGTTTCATCTTCAAAGACTTGTTTTAAACCTCCCAACGCTCTTTCTCTCTGCAATGTTGGTTTGAGGATAAACCTGGGCAAAACTGGGATGGACATCAACGGATCTCTATGACAAGTAGATTTCTTCATCATCTCTACTGTTCCTGTTAATCTCTAAACTGTTTGAGAATAAGTATTTTACTTTACAGGTCAACTTGGTCTTTCCAAGCACCCGCACTAGAACTCAGACTACAGGAAGTTTTCTATGCCAAGACTTCAGAGGGTTGCACGCTCTTTTTATAGCCCCGCTGCTCCATTTATCTTGGTCTGCTGTCAAAGTCTGAGATCTGAAATGCTCCCACACTAGTCCCTGAGCAAACTCATCCACTTAATTCTGGACACCTGTGGCAGCCACATTCCTCCATCACGTCCTGTGTCCAAGACTCTCTGCTTAATGGCTGGAGCTCCAACATCCCTCACATCTCCTAATTCACTCTCACCACACTTCAAGCCACATTTCATCATGCTTTTTATTTCCAGGACTCAGCTCAGAACTTGTCAAAAGCGTTTCATCAGCAGTCAGAAGACATTAAAGACATTTGTCATAACAGAGAATTAAGACTACGAATGATGTCAAACAGTTTTCATGTGACGTCTCCAAAGTTCAAGACTTAGCTCCAACCAGAACACCCAGAATTTGTGATGGCCAAGAAAACAGTTCTTATACAGTGCTCCTGACGGATCCGATTAAATGGAAAAGTATGGAGACCATGGAATATCATAATTAAGCAACAGGAGAAATTGCAAGGAAAACAAAGGGGCTGTGTGTCTAATTAACAGATGAACAGGAGAGGATGAAATGGTGCAGAGAGAAATGGTGAAGGGAGAAGATCATCTTCAGCTACAGTAATTCCACTAAAAGCGAGAGAAATTCAAATGCCCAGAGGCAGGGCCCTGAATCCCTGCTTTTCAAGCTAACTGGAATCGCAAAGGGGCTGATTAGTCTCACGAATATTTTTTATATCTGCCGCAGGATTACATAATGACCTAATTTCCTATGAGGAGGGTGATACAGCTTTAGCAGTTTTGTGTCAGGGAACATCAAGAAAAAGCACGTTCATCCCCTTCTTGGTAAATCTGGGGTTTTCACAACACAGAAATGAGATTCTCAGGTCAGTGTAAGTATCATGAAATGTTCGAGATCTTCATGGAGATGCTTCCACTAGGGCAGAAAGTGTTCTGACTTTCCAATAAATCATTGCTCCTGCCTCCAGGTGGTCTTGGTTCTTCTGCTGAGACCTGCCTCACCCCCTCTCTCACCTCTACCTACTCAGTGCTCCCGAGAAGCTGTGTAAGAGCCAGACGACTGGGATCTATGGTCTTCTGGGGCTCAGACATGCTCTCCTCAATGTTCAACAGGAAGCACTTCTCTTGAGTGTCGTGTTCCTTTATCAATGGCACAAATAGACACTACTGGCCCTTAACAAGAGTCTTCCTGGCTGAGGTTTTCATTCTGCTTTTGTAAAAAGACAGTAAAATGTTCCGGTAGCTTTTGAGGGGGTGTTAGCCAAGCAATGAGTGATGGTCTGCGACTCCCTAGTATTTCCATCACTGTCTCTTCTAACTGCATCATCTCTCCTCTCTAAGTACAACCGCTACAGCTGAAGGAGGAGCTGGTACACAAATGAGCAGGTTGTGAACGCTCGGGACAGTCTCCTACCTATAATTTTCTCATACATCTCTTGTCTTGTACCATACATCTGAAGAGCCCACGAGGAGGACACCCAGGAGACAGCAATGCTTATGATCTACTGTTGTTCTCTAAACACGGTATAATGTAATTCCCTTCCTGTTTCTTCCCACTGGCACTGTTCACTGCTCGGGTAGGCTGCTCCCCAAAGGATCACTCAATGCCATACTAGAAAACAAGAGCTTTCTACCCAAAACCCCCATCTTTGAAGGAAAAGGAATGCTAAAAATCACAGAATGGTCCAGATTTGGAAGGGCCCTCTGGAGCTCCCCCAGTCCACCCCCGGCCAGAGCAGGGGCACCTCCAGCAGTGGCACAGGACAGCGTCCAGGCGGGTTTGGGATGGCTCCAGAGGGGGAGACTCCCCCACCTCTCTGGGCAGCCTCTGCCACTGCTCTGCCGCCCTCACAGCAGAGAAGGCCCTCCTCAGGTGGAGATGGAACTGCGTCTGGTCACCTTTGTGCCCGTTCCCTCTTGTCCGTCACTGGGCACCACTGACAAAAGACTGTACTCATCTACCTGGCACCCTCCCTTTAAGGATTTATAAGTATTGATAAGATCCTCCTCAGTCTTCTTTTCTCTAGACTGAACAGACCCAAGTGCCTCAGCCTTTCCTCATAAGAAAGATGCTTCAATCCCCTAATTATCTTCGTAGCCCTATCAAGAAATCAAGCAAGGGAGACCAGGCAACTTCACTGCTGTAAAGACCTCCAAATGTCCCAAACAAACCAAATCTCTGTGCAGGACACGAGGCAAAGAATGGCAGGATGGTAATGATGAAATGCAATACAGAAGTTACTGAACTGTGCTCTTTGTTTGGCTCCACCTGCCCGGACACCCTGGCACAGCACAGCCCTGGGAACAGAACGGAGGATGGAGCACAGGACAACTTTTTAACAGACATCCCTTCTACTCCACAGACTCCTGGTCACTAAAAAAAAATTAAATTGCAAATTAACAAATCTGTATTCATTAAATAGAAGACCTGGCCTCTTCCTGACCTTCACACTTTCATTGTGATGAAAAGTAACAGCACTGTCCGGCTGAAAAACAGGGAAGCTGGAAAACCACCTACTCAAACAAGGGAGAACAGCCAGAGGGGCACAGCACAAACCACTACACTACTTCTGTGTAAATACACACGAAAAATCAAGGACAGCGACTAAAAGGAGAGATTTTGTGAAATCTTTTTAACTATTTCAGCACCTTAGTCACTGTTGTATGGTGAACTTGTCTCATTCCTAAGCAACACCATCAGCTGTTGCTTTCATACCTCTATTTGTCTTCCCAGTACCGGACTGACCAGGGCAACATCCATAGATTATGAGTTAAATTTAGAATAATCCAGCTACTAGAAATCTGGGCAATTAACTAATACTTACAGACTCTTAGTGTCTCCACTAGTGACTGATCTCGCTAGGTAGTAAGCCACAAGTCTTCACTAGGAGTCCTCCAGCATCACACACGGTCTGGCTGATAAATAGTTATAATTTCAAAAAAGCAGCCAGATCAGACACTCAGCTCTGAGAAGCTCCTCCACCAGATCAAGGCTCCATTTATGAAATAAGAATGTTAAAACCAAGTCTCAAAGGATGCTCAAAGAATCTTTTCTTTCCATTTGGGGCTGGAGACCTCTTGACATGTTGTGAAGCATCAGGACCAGTTGCTGAATGCACAGTCACAGACTCAATCTAGAATGCTTCTCAGAAGGCACGTGCCTCATTTCTAGGCAACCATCCCCTCACAACTCAACAAACGCCGGGTATGAAGTTAGAGGAAAACTGAAAATAAATTTCCAAAAGAAGTTTGTCTGCATGAGTACCATGCCTTTCTGCATTTGCCCCAGAGGAAGGATGCTTCTTGAGGTTCGAGGGGGAAAAGCCCACATCTCAGCTCCGCATCTCTGCTATACCCATAGCATCGTGTGCTATTTTCACAGCACCACAGCCTGGCTGAGGTTGGGGGTCTCTCTGGAGGTTATCTGGTCCAACCCCCTGCTCCAGCAGGGCCACCCAGAGCCGGCTGACCACGACCATGCCCAGATGACTTCTGAATACCGCCACGGATGGAGACTTCACAGCCTCTCTGGGCAATCTGTGCCAGCGCTTGGTGAAACCTGTGCCAGCGCTCACAGTGAAAGTGTCTCCTGATGTTCAGAGGGAACTTCCTGTGTGTCAGTTTGTGCCCATGGCCTCCGGTCCTGGAATTGGGCACCAGTGAGAATAGTCTGGTTCTGTCTGCTTTGTACCCTCCCTTCACGTATTTATACATTTGATGAGATCCCCCTGAGCCCTCTCTTCACCAGGCTGAACAGCCCCAGCTCTTCCCTCCTAGGACCGATGCTCCAGTCCCTTCATCATCTTGGCAGCCCTTTGCTGAGGTCTGTCCAGTATGTCCATCTCTCTCTAATACTGGGGAGCCCTGTACTTCTCCCAGGAGCTCACCAGAAACTATGCACTCTCCAGACACACACTTTACTCCAATCCCACTCCTTCCTTCAGCCCAGCCAGTAACTCAAAACAGCTTTTGTTCTCGGAAGTGGTTTGAGTGGGGTATTTTTCCACCAGCTTCTTCGTCTTGAATTCAACACAGTAGAACTGACACAGCAAGGAGAAGCAAAGGAAAGGAGTGCTTAGTCCTGCCAAACCAAATGAATTCCAGCATAAAAAAGTGAGATGAACTTATCAAAATTTACTGCATGTCTTATGTGACAAAAAAAAAAAAAAATTGTATTTATTTATTCATGTCATCCAAGGGAAAGACATTGTACGTGCAAATGGCCACAAGTTTCTATTTTTGACAAATCAGATATGATGGGTGCCTGGAAAACATCTGTGAGATATTCCTTTGGGCAAAATTTTGAAGTCCTTAACTGTAGGACTGAACTGAAACAACAGACGAGGACTACTGAAACAACTGCAGAATGAACCAAATTATAGGTCAGTGCTTAAGTAAGACTTCTTATGCTGAATTAATGTCTGACTTTGTGAATGCTTGGACCAACATGTTAAAGCTTACAGATGGACAAGTCCCTTTAAAAAGTGAAAAGACATGGATACAGTGGCTTTGTAGGCAGTTGAACAATACACTGACTAAACTTCCCACTGCTTTATTCCCCTGCTACCCAGCCATTAGCCGTCTCATCCAACTTCCCACTGGCTGTGCAGCAGCAGAGGAAAGGAGTAGAAGCTGGGGATGCTGGAAATATTCAAGTCTTGGAGCCAATTTCCATCTCCTGACTGTTGCTTAGTGCTCTTTTTCTCTCCCGTTTCTTAAATCTTACCCACAAACGTGGGACAAGAGTTAGGACACACACAAAATATTAGAGTAAACGGCAGCAGCCAGAGCAGGGCTTCTTTACTTACCTAAACTGTGGCCGTTTTTTGTGTAAAAGCAGGTATTGTTGATAAGGTTAACGCAGCAGCCGATCACGTCTCCAGTGGTGAACGTAGGGCCGTAGGGCTGTCCTGTCCCCGAAGAGCAGAAGGAGTGCCCATCGTCGCCGTGGTACCCATAAGAATGTTTATCCCATCCTGCAAAAGACAAGACAGAAGAACAGGTCAGCAACGATGCCAGTTTAGCGGAACGACACGGCAGCTACAGCTCTCGGGACACAACTTGCCAGTAGGAAATTTGAAATTTTGATTCCCACTTCTGATTCCTCCCAATATTAATTTTCACATACCAGTAACTGAAATGAAATTAACAATCATCAATCATAACTCATCATTTGGGTTTCAACCTTGTTTGTCCCTTATGAGAAATAATAAAAAGAACAGATTGCCAAAAGTCATTTTGACTATGATGGGGTTTTTTTGTTTTAAAAAAACATTAAACCGCTGTTTCTGTTTTATTTTGCCTGCAGTGAAACAAGCTCCTCTTTGTAAAACATTTGTGTTTCCCACTAAACCAATCTTTCAGCAAAACCATTTAATAAAATAATTCTCATCCAATGGCAGCTTTGTCTGTACGTGCTGCTCACAGCCGTAACCGAATGGCTTGGGGCAATTTTTGCACTCTCACATTTACATTTCCCTTCTAACAGTTTATAAGGATTTCTGCGTTCCCCTTGGGCAACAACATTTCCCATGCTGCGCACAGCTTAAAACACAACCCTTAAATGTCAATGGGCAATTTTCCAAGTGGTCAATTCTAACATTAATATCTTTTCTTTCTTCTGCCAGTAGCGCTGTGCCTAGGGTTAAAGCCTACCTGCTCTTTTCTACATCTCACAGTAATTCCATCATTCCGAGTTCCTGATTTTGTTCTGTTCTACCCCAATTCTGTTGTAAATTCTTTTGCAAATTTTTTACACGTAGAAATGCCAGGTACAACTGGTAACTACTGCAAAGAAGAGAGACTAATCCATCCTTTAAAAGCTGAAGTGTTCTTCAGGCAACACACCGTCTTCTCTTTTCAGGACTCTCATCTCCCTCTTCCAGAAGAGAGTACAGTGCTCCCATGGTGGTGGCCACAGGGTGATTCGGTGAATGCCACCTGAATCTACTAACCTGTGTCTACTGACTTCAGGTGCCACTACTGCTCAAGACGGCTTATCCCTGCCTCTCTTAGGAAACCAGCCACGGCAGGTAGGCAGTCATGGGGAACAGTCCTCTTATCAGACAGTTTAAAGAAAGCACGACACACTCTGTCTTATAATAAGACTTTGAGAAGAATCAGGGTCCTCTCCAGCTCTTTGGAGCCTTCCTGTGAATTACACAATCAAACCCACATCTCACAGAGAGATGTACTTCTTAGCAAAAAGCCTGAGACAGACCCAACATCCATAACAAGTACCTGTATTTAGGATGGTTGGACCCTTGGGCAGACTGTGCCAACTGAAGTGGAAGCAAAAGAAGGTGCTTTGACCATCTACTGACCCTATACAACCTAAAGGCAGCGCAGATCTGTTAAATGTGGAGCAACGGTTTTGGCAAAAGGACTACAGAAGAAATGCAATGACCAGGAGAGGAGAGGGGTTAAAAAAGCAGAAAGCGCAACCTTCTGCAATAAGGCAAAAAAAAGACCAAGCACACTGCAAACCACAGAGAGGAGCCCTGTGAAGGTGGGCTGGAGCGCTTCTGTGAGCCACCATTCCTACAAAAACAACAACGTCATGAGGGCACTAGAAATTCAATCCCGTCAAATGGTGCTCAGCTACATGCACTCAGGTATCTTATGATCAGCGGCACCCACACGCTCAGGGTTTCTCAGAAAAGCATGAAACACTCGGTGCATGCCAAGGCCCTCCGTTTGTTGCACCACACCACATGAATGCCAACAGGAAAGTCAGGGAATGGAGCGAGACTGAAACATGCCATGGTCTGAGATTTTGGACCTCAGGGCAAAGACTGGGAGTGAAAGGTGTGAAAGACGTCTAGCAAATCCTAGTCTAGAAATGGTGAATAATTTCCTCTGTTAAGTTCCACACACCCACAGGAACAGACTGAGATGTCCCAAGAGTCAGCTCCGTCTTCCCTCGGACCAGCTCCAAACAAGCTGTTGACAGTAGCACCAGTCCTGTTTAATATCTTCGTGAAAGACAGGGACAACAGCACAGACACCACCCTCCGCACGCTCGAGAACGACGCCAAATCGGGTTGCCAAAAACAAAGGAGGGAGCGATAGGGGCTCTAGAGTCTGTTGTCAAACTTCCACTGCTAAAACTTCATCCAGTAAAAATATCATTGAAATATTGAGTTTTTAACACTGTGGCTCCTTTCCACTATCCCTTTTATTTTTTCTCTGCTGCTGGCCTGTGAAAGGCTGCCACCGCTGATCTATTATCTTAGGCTCCCCAAAACATGTGTGTCAGTTCAGAACTTCTCCAATGAAGCTGTTGGTAACTTCAGATGATAACTCTAATCAATTTATGTCCTAAGCTACTTAATAACACAACCCAAATACAGACTACTAGCTCTTCTGCATACAAAACATTCCTGGCATTACAAAGCATTTAATAAGAACTTGTCGTCAGATACATCGAAGTTGTCAGATGCTTACACACCATGCACCAGGAAGGGTGACTGTGAGAAACGCAACTGCGTGCTCAACCATGAGGGCAATTTCACAAAATACTTGTGCCAATGCAGACACTACAGGTTCTGTAGCATAAGAAGAAAAAAAAAAGGTTTCATTACCTACAGATCACAACTGATTGTATGGAAAAACCTTCCTCCTGCTCCTGTAAGACTTGTGCTTCATAGTATTGGTACTTGCTGTATCACCAAAGGTGGTGATGAACTCATTGATGAGATGAGTTCAGGTAGATGACCTACCTGGACTTGTGCAAAGCATTTGACACTGTCCCGCACAACATCCTGATCTCTAAATTGGAGAGACATGGATATGACTGATGGATCACCCAGTGCATAAGGAATTGGCTGGATGGTCGCGCTTAAAGAGTTGTGGTCAATGGCTTGATGTCCAAGTGGCAAGCAGTGACAAACGATGTTTCCCAGTGGTCCATAGTGGGATCAGTACTATTTAACATCTTTGTTGGTGACATGGATGTTGGGATTGAGGGCACCCTCAATTTGCTGACGACACCAAGCTGTGTGGAGTGGTCAACACGCTGGAGGGACGGGATGCCATCCAGAGGGACCTGGACAGGCTGGAGAGGTGGGTCTGTGCGAACCTCATGAAGTTCAACAAGGCCAAGTGCAAGGTCCTGCACGTGGGTCGGGGCAATCCCATGCACAAATCCAGGCTGGGGGGAGAATGGCTGGAGAGCAGCCCTGAGGAGAGGGACTTGGGGGTGCTGGTAGATGAGAAGCTCAGCATGAGCTGGCAATGTGTGATCGCAGCCCAGAAAGCCAACTGTATCCTGGGCTGCATCAAAAGAAGTGTGGCCAGCAGGGGGAGGGAAGCGACTCTGCCCCTCTATTCCACTCTCATGAGACCACACCTGGAATATTGCATCCAGCTCTGGAGCCCCCAACACAAGAAGAACATGGACCTGTTGGAGTGGGTCCAGAGGAAGCCACAAAGACTATCAGAGGGCTGGAGAACCTCTCCTATGAAGACAGGCAGAGAGAGTTGGGGTTGTTCACCCTGGAGAAGAGAAGGCTCCAGGGAGACTTTCTAGCAGCCTCCCAGTATCTGAAGGAGGCCTACAAGAAAGCTGGAGAGGCACTTTTTACAAGGGCATGTCGTGATAGGACGATGTGTAACAGCTTCAAACTGGAAGAGGGGAGATTTAGATTAGATATTAGGAAGAAATTCTTTGCTGTGAGGGTGGTGGGACATTGGTCCAGGTTGCCCAGAGAAGCTGTGGCTGCCCCATCCCTGGAGGTGTTCAAGGCCAGGTTGGACGGGGCCTGGAGCAACCTGGGCTGGTGGGAGGTGTCCCTGCCCTGGGCAGGGGGGTTGGAACTAGAAGATCTTCAAGGTCCCTTCCAACCTAAACCATTCTATTTTTTTCTATGATTCTATGAACTCCAATGAGAAGTGACCGAATAAAGGCTTTGAGGGCAGTGTCAAATTTGGTATGTATTACAACAGCATCTGGAAAAAGCTTGATTCTCCACAGAAAACCACTAATACCATCAGTCAAGGAAATCTCGCTCACCCAGCACTTTGCTAATGAGATACAGAGTTGACTTTTTCAACTCAAATGTTGTGTAGTGCTAAATCTGGACCTGACACAACACTAAGTGTTTTAAATCTAGACTGTCAGCCTTATCAAATCACCATGGACATCTTAAAAAAACAAGCCAGATCTGTGTGAGAGAACTTACTGTACCCACCATAAACATCAGCCGAGTGGCATTAATTATATGCCTAACCTTTAGTTATTTATTACTCAAATAATGTATCAGTATTTCTAAAACTCTGCCCAGAATAAACATGAGGGCAATGGCATACAGGTCATTCCAGCTCTGGCCAACTTCAGCCAGTCTTCTGAAATTTCCTAATAATCTAAATTAAAAATAACAATCAGCACTTCTGATACTTCTAGGTCAAAGTTATCTGGGCCGATTGATTTAAATAGCGTATCCCTATTGAATGCATTTGATGTTATCTTGGATTACCAGCAGAGTGGGGAGTAACTTATCACATGTATTTTGCAAATACATCCTCCAACTTCTTTCCGAATACAAAAACACTTGCTGAAAACTTGGGACTTCTCTGCATCATTAACAATTTACTATCGCCACCTAGTAATAGGTCTATGATATTACAACCTTTTCTTTGACTCCTGTGACACTGCTCACACCTCCGGTCACTCAATAGCCTCTTCCTTTACAAAATCTAATGCTGTTTTAATAAGGGCTGAATCAGACTTCCCATACGTCTTCCTCACACTTAGATCTGCAAATTCACCAGACAGTTTAACCTTCCTACCACTAGTGCTCGAGTACTTCAGCTTCTGCGGTGACCCAGAAGGCAGAGATGAGAAGTTATCTGCATGTCCTTAAAAAGAATGGCCATACAGGATATGGGGTCAATCCAGATAAGTATCCTGTTCAAGAAGTGGATGCTTATGAGATGGCATAAGTGTAGGACACGCATAAACGTTACCACTTTCCAA